TCGTGTTCTGTTTAATGCACAAACGAACACGATAAAGTTTGTCACTCTCGTGTACATTATAAAATATATTTTTATTTATAATTTTTAATACATAAAAGTAATAAAGTAGTTTTTTTATTTTACGAAATTCTCATCGAATCGAATTTCTATATCGTTCACACGTATACGATTACAAATAATACTTAAATTATATTTAAACCCGAACAAAATAATCTTTTCAAGTATTATATTTCGATAATGTTTTCTAGATTAAGTATCCAGCTATTTAGAGAACTTAATAGTAATTAAATACAGAAGCATTTTGTTTTTCTTTACATAATTTCTCTAATCTCTAAACTAAATATTAAATCCAAATTAATTTAATTTAATTTTAATAAAATTAATCACGAACCGAATAAGAACTACGTAATAAAAAAAGCCGTAATTAAGCGAAGAAATTAAAAAAAAAAAACAATTTAAAATGACCGTTTTTTCTTTATTTAAATTTTTGAATTTAAAAAAAAAAAAAATAACGGTCGTTTTCAATTTCATAATTATAAATTCCTCCACTAGAGGGAACTCTGATTTCTTTTTATTTTGAATTGAATTAATTGTTTGTTTGTTTATTAATTAAGCGAACGAGATTATGATTTAATTAACAATTTCATCGCTAGATGGTGCGATTTCTAACTATTTATTTATTTATTTTTTTAATTTTTAATTTCAAACTTTTAAGTGTGTGCGAGGGTATTAAAGTAAGTAATTTCGTACGAAAATGATAAGCGATTCGTAATCGTTATATATAACGCTAATGTGCGGGGGTGTTTTTTTTCCTCTCGTCACGACAATTACGTCATTGTTGTTGTGGTAAAGAAGCATGTGGAGTGGGAGCATGCGCAAAATATACAACGATGAACGTCAATTTTACTTTAAGGCTCAACAGAGGCAAGAACGTAAGGAGGAGTGTGTTTTTATAAACAAACATGTTTATCGAGAAAATATCAAAAAGGTAAATTAAGAAAAAATTAATTCCAAAGTTTTAATTAAGTTTAAAATGTTTTTGTTTAAATAAGTGAATTAAAAAAAAAATAAATTTAAATTTGTGAATAAACAGTACAGTTCTGTTTTTTAAGTGTCACTCGACAGTATTTTTAACTTAGAAATTTGTGTGTTAAGTCTGTTTCTACTTAATTTATTCGTGTAGGAGGGATTTTTTTTTTAGTATTANTATATTTCGTACACGATAACACAAGATGTCCCAAAAGTCAGATAACTGTATTTTAACGCTTATGAATACGAACTGTAAACTGATAGAAACATTACAGAAATACAATTAATTCGATTGTATTTTATCCTTAATTAATCGTAATTAGTTTTCTGACTTTTGGGCCAAGCTGTATTAAAAACAGGGTGACCCAAAAGTCGGTCAACTATTTTAAGTACGTTTAGAATTAGGCATTTCCTTCGAATTTGTTATGAGTGATAACTTCCCACTTTATTATTATTTCATAATTAATAGTTATGGCTTCCTTTTGTCATAAATTTATAATATAAACTCAGTTTAAAATATGCTTATTGTTTTAACGCTACACGAGGATGTTGCGTTAAAACCTAGGGGGTGCCGCCTATGTACGTAGAAAATCCTCTTTTATATAGAAAGCCCCGTTTACCCGGGAGTTTCTATGAAAGACTTGCCCCTATTTGGATGTTAGAAGCGAAGGAAACACGGAAAACTTCACGTGTCCAGCCTATTGGTAGGGCGCGAACCCGCGACCAATTACCAGTGTTTAGTTGTTTTATCCACTCGATCAATGGTGGGTAATATCGCGGACTAAATCCAGTTTCAAAATAATTTATCTTCGAATTAATTATATAATCTTCTGACGTTTGCAAATTTCTTCTTCCAGGTTTTATAAATGCAAGAAATGACAGCTAAAAAAGTCCTGATTGCATTGGGTATTGCTACTATATGAACCTTTTTTTCCTAAATTAAGATACTTTTTTCCCACTTATTTAAGAAAGAATCAATTAATTACTGATGAAATTTCTGTATGAAATTCGTGATTTTTTTTACGAAGATTTACAGTCTGGTTTAGATAATAATTGTTATAATAAATAATAGAGTTTCATTCACTGGAAGGGCATAGAGGAAGTGAAGTTGATAACGGAAGTATGTGAATTCCACGCTTTATACATATGCGTTAATTCATGTAAAATCCTATTTATATATTGATGATATAACCCTGAAATTTATCTATTAATTTTTATATTATTTATATAATAAAACATTGCGTTTTAAGCTGTAATTTATCAACTTTTTCTTCATTTTTTTGGGGTGTAAAATTCGTATAAGACATATATTATCAAATGCAACACCTTAGGAAAGCCTGGCATACCGGAAAATACACTAAATTTGACTTATAAAAATTTTAAAGTAGTATAGTGACAGTTACAAAGATGTTATAGCCCTAAGAGGCTTTTTCTTCTCGATAAATTAATAATAAATTAAAAAACATGAGGCCCTAATTCGGATGTAATCAATCTGTGGACTGTTTAGTTTATGTGTAAATCTGGAATAAATAAAGTAGGACCACGTTTTAATACAAATATTTATCAAATTTACGTTTATAAAAACTATACAAGAATCTAATTTAATTATTTCTGCATTTGCTTGTAATGCTTATTGTGAATAATTTCATAATGTAAGCACTTCTATAAATTAATTTTCTTGTGGAACTGTGTTATGTTTAGNTTTTTTTAATTTTTAATTTCAAACTTTTAAGTGTGTGCGAGGGTATTAAAGTAAGTAATTTCGTACGAAAATGATAAGCGATTCGTAATCGTTATATATAACGCTAATGTGCGGGGGTGTTTTTTTTCCTCTCGTCACGACAATTACGTCATTGTTGTTGTGGTAAAGAAGCATGTGGAGTGGGAGCATGCGCAAAATATACAACGATGAACGTCAATTTTACTTTAAGGCTCAACAGAGGCAAGAACGTAAGGAGGAGTGTGTTTTTATAAACAAACATGTTTATCGAGAAAATATCAAAAAGGTAAATTAAGAAAAAATTAATTCCAAAGTTTTAATTAAGTTTAAAATGTTTTTGTTTAAATAAGCGAATTAAAAAAAAATAAATTTAAATTTGTGAATAAACAGTACAGTTCTGTTTTTTAAGTGTCACTCGACAGTATTTTTAACTTAGAAATTTGTGTGTTAAGTCTGTTTCTACTTAATTTATTCGTGTAGGAGGGATTTTTTTTTTAAGTATTAAAAGATAATTTTATTCTATTTTTTAATGTTTTTAAGTGTTAAAATTCATATATATATTTTTTTATTTTTATGTATAGCAGATANATACATAATAAAAAAATCAATTACATAATAACACATATCACGATAAATTATATTTTAAAATATTTATTGTAACTATATTAAAAAATATATATATATATTATGTTTAATATTCAACACCCGGAATTATCTTATAACAATTTCATTTTACCTTCTCCAATATTAAATTTATAAACGTATTTGTATGTAAATATATACAATAAAACCTGTGTAAACCGGACTGGTACTGTACCGAATATTGCTTCCGTTTTAAACAGGTTTTACAGTATAAAAATATCGTCAAGAATATTTATAAAATATAAAAATTTTAATTCGAAAACAGTAAATTTATTATTTTTAGTTGCGATTTAATTTATTTTTTACATTACATAATCCAGTAAAGTATTATATTATGCCGATTTATATTATTAAAATGTATATTAGACTTACAGACAGATCATTCAACGCACATATTCACATCCTCACCTCTTACACCTACACTTAAAAATATAGTGAGGAACATAAATACGCACGTGAACATACTTAAAACTTATAGATCTGTAATAATTAGAACATATAAAAATCACTGTCAGCGCTCTAAAATTAGTATCACAAATGAAGCCAAAATTTTATTTATGTACATCTATTAATATTGTTCGATAAAGTTAACAGGAAACATTGTAAAATAATAATTTTAGGAAACCAGGAAAAAGTTCCCGTGTTGGGAATTTTTAACGTCACACCCTAAAATTAAAAAAAAAAAAAAAGGAAATTCTGTTATCTAAAGTAATTTCACTTTATTGCCATCCGTCTTAAATTACAGTGAAATATATTTTAACCTTTTATTTAAAGAGAGAACACAGAAAAATATTTAAACATCACTGTAGATAATACTTATCTAAATGACAAATTGAAAAATTGTCGTGTTATTGAAGAGTTCAAGGATCAATTTTTCTCTTTTTTTTGTCAGCCATATTGAAAGTCTATTCTAATAATAACTAGTTTGTTTTATTGTTTTAAAAGTAGCGGTGCCATGTTTCTTTCTTTATAATACAAAAATGACACGCTGTTTTATCAATTGTTACGTAAGCGTCGTGTTCTGTTTAATGCACAAACGAACACGATAAAGTTTGTCACTCTCGTGTACATTATAAAATATATTTTTATTTATAATTTTTAATACATAAAAGTAATAAAGTAGTTTTTTTATTTTACGAAATTCTCATCGAATCGAATTTCTATATCGTTCACACGTATACGATTACAAATAATACTTAAATTATATTTAAACCCGAACAAAATAATCTTTTCAAGTATTATATTTCGATAATGTTTTCTAGATTAAGTATCCAGCTATTTAGAGAACTTAATAGTAATTAAATACAGAAGCATTTTGTTTTTCTTTACATAATTTCTCTAATCTCTAAACTAAATATTAAATCCAAATTAATTTAATTTAATTTTAATAAAATTAATCACGAACCGAATAAGAACTACGTAATAAAAAAAGCCGTAATTAAGCGAAGAAATTAAAAAAAAAAAACAATTTAAAATGACCGTTTTTTCTTTATTTAAATTTTTGAATTTAAAAAAAAAAAAAATAACGGTCGTTTTCAATTTCATAATTATAAATTCCTCCACTAGAGGGAACTCTGATTTCTTTTTATTTTGAATTGAATTAATTGTTTGTTTGTTTATTAATTAAGCGAACGAGATTATGATTTAATTAACAATTTCATCGCTAGATGGTGCGATTTCTAACTATTTATTTATTTATTTTTTTAATTTTTAATTTCAAACTTTTAAGTGTGTGCGAGGGTATTAAAGTAAGTAATTTCGTACGAAAATGATAAGCGATTCGTAATCGTTATATATAACGCTAATGTGCGGGGGTGTTTTTTTTCCTCTCGTCACGACAATTACGTCATTGTTGTTGTGGTAAAGAAGCATGTGGAGTGGGAGCATGCGCAAAATATACAACGATGAACGTCAATTTTACTTTAAGGCTCAACAGAGGCAAGAACGTAAGGAGGAGTGTGTTTTTATAAACAAACATGTTTATCGAGAAAATATCAAAAAGGTAAATTAAGAAAAAATTAATTCCAAAGTTTTAATTAAGTTTAAAATGTTTTTGTTTAAATAAGTGAATTAAAAAAAAAATAAATTTAAATTTGTGAATAAACAGTACAGTTCTGTTTTTTAAGTGTCACTCGACAGTATTTTTAACTTAGAAATTTGTGTGTTAAGTCTGTTTCTACTTAATTTATTCGTGTAGGAGGGATTTTTTTTTTAAGTATTAAAAGATAATTTTATTCTATTTTTTAATGTTTTTAAGTGTTAAAATTCATATATATATTTTTTTNACATAATTAGAAAATCCGTAAATAAGTAATTTAATAAAAATTTTAATTCCTAAATTAAGATACTTTTTTCCCACTTATTTAAGAAAGAATCAATTAATTACTGATGAAATTTCTGTATGAAATTCGTGATTTTTTTTACGAAGATTTACAGTCTGGTTTAGATAATAATTGTTATAATAAATAATAGAGTTTCATTCACTGGAAGGGCATAGAGGAAGTGAAGTTGATAACGGAAGTATGTGAATTCCACGCTTTATACATATGCGTTAATTCATGTAAAATCCTATTTATATATTGATGATATAACCCTGAAATTTATCTATTAATTTTTATATTATTTATATAATAAAACATTGCGTTTTAAGCTGTAATTTATCAACTTTTTCTTCATTTTTTTGGGGTGTAAAATTCGTATAAGACATATATTATCAAATGCAACACCTTAGGAAAGCCTGGCATACCGGAAAATACACTAAATTTGACTTATAAAAATTTTAAAGTAGTATAGTGACAGTTACAAAGATGTTATAGCCCTAAGAGGCTTTTTCTTCTCGATAAATTAATAATAAATTAAAAAACATGAGGCCCTAATTCGGATGTAATCAATCTGTGGACTGTTTAGTTTATGTGTAAATCTGGAATAAATAAAGTAGGACCACGTTTTAATACAAATATTTATCAAATTTACGTTTATAAAAACTATACAAGAATCTAATTTAATTATTTCTGCATATGTAAATTCTATATAATATGTCAGTTCTTTTAATAGCGTTGATGGAATTACATTAATTATACAACCCCCTACCTTAGCTTTCTCTTCAACATATTTTTATAATGAAATTATTTTAAAATAATAATAATAATGATAAAGTCTATAAAACTTAAGAGATTTTTCATTAGTTGAGTAAACAAATTACCATTATTCCATCGATTAGAATCGCATCGATGACACGTTTAAGGCCTTTATAGGGTCAGTTAGAGGCGAAACCTTCAAACTGTTCTACTTTTCTAGTAGAAAATAACATATAAAAAAAAAACGTAAATTGTGAAAAAGTAGAGGCATTTCAACACTTAATTTCTATTGATAAACGGATGAATGATTTCTTCCCTTATTCATTATTAAAACCGGTATCGATCTGGCCACTTACAACAATAAAAAAAAACAATAATAATAATAATAATAATAAAACAGTGACAAGGCATTAATTTATACGAGTGGGTATTGTGATATACACCGCTCTATTCACATCTGCATACGAATAATAGCCCATTGTATATCGCATATATCCATTCACACGTATGAATATGACCCATTTTCTCGTTTTCTGTGTGTCTAGTTTCCAGTAGAGAGGCTTTAACTAAACATTTTTATGAGAAAAAGAGAGAGAGAGAGAACCGATAATTAATTAATAATCGGGTTTATTCCGTATGACACATAAATCATTACGAAGACTCAATCACGTAAAAAGTATTTAAAGAATTGATGTGTCTCGGAGTCGTTTGCGTCATAGAGATATGAAATATTAATAAAAGAGAAAAAAAGGGGAGAAGGCTTAGTACTTTGAACAGGTGATGTCGTCCCCTTTGTTAAATATCTACATTAACGATAGCGAGAATGTTATCGATCCTAATCAGTAGGAGACTCGAGAGCTCACTTGTCTAACCAATTAAAAATGATAAAAGTTTAATGTAATTATGTTAATGAATCTATTTTTAGGGGGAGAAGCCATTGAAAGACTTAATTTCTGCTATTAGCAGGCGTGTTTAGTGCACCCTTTTACGTTGACGTTTCGATAGAAAGGTACCTCTTGAGTGGAGGATCCTGCATCCAATTCCTAAATTTGAGTAATTGACTTTTTTTTTTCTTCTTTCAAAGCAAAATAAATAAAATTGGAATTTTCTAACGCATCATTCATTAAAATACTTTCAAAACATGCTTGTAATTATCATCAGAACTATTGTCTATTGTTAATTTTGTCATTTTTGCATCGTAAACAGTATTTTTCTTATCGTTTTAACTTGTAATTTATGCTTAACTCGTACCAAATTTTCGTTTTTACGAACTGATGATACGCTTTTATAATACTGTTTGCATTGCACTTCTCTCCTACCCTTTACCCTTGAAATAATCTTTACATATAAACAAAATCATAAACGCGAGCGCCATTTTGGAAAATAATTTATGCTTAATAAGTAAGAAAATTAAGCAGAAATTCCCTATTAATAAACAATATTTCGCTGTTGTTAATAACAATATCAAATTAAAATATATATATATTTCGTACACGATAACACAAGATGTCCCAAAAGTCAGATAACTGTATTTTAACGCTTATGAATACGAACTGTAAACTGATAGAAACATTACAGAAATACAATTAATTCGATTGTATTTTATCCTTAATTAATCGTAATTAGTTTTCTGACTTTTGGGCCAAGCTGTATTAAAAACAGGGTGACCCAAAAGTCGGTCAACTATTTTAAGTACGTTTAGAATTAGGCATTTCCTTCGAATTTGTTATGAGTGATAACTTCCCACTTTATTATTATTTCATAATTAATAGTTATGGCTTCCTTTTGTCATAAATTTATAATATAAACTCAGTTTAAAATATGCTTATTGTTTTAACGCTACACGAGGATGTTGCGTTAAAACCTAGGGGGTGCCGCCTATGTACGTAGAAAATCCTCTTTTATATAGAAAGCCCCGTTTACCCGGGAGTTTCTATGAAAGACTTGCCCCTATTTGGATGTTAGAAGCGAAGGAAACACGGAAAACTTCACGTGTCCAGCCTATTGGTAGGGCGCGAACCCGCGACCAATTACCAGTGTTTAGTGGTTTTATCCACTCGATCAATGGTGGGTAATATCGCGGACTAAATCCAGTTTCAAAATAATTTATCTTCGAATTAATTATATAATCTTCTGACGTTTGCAAATTTCTTCTTCCAGGTTTTATAAATGCAAGAAATGACAGCTAAAAAAGTCCTGATTGCATTGGGTATTGCTACTATATGTACCATTTTCATCTTAAATAATGAGATTAACTGGAAATCGGTGAATAATTACAGCGTCGTATACTCCAATTATAATATAGACGAGGAGGAACCATTTCCAGATCCTAAACAGTCCTGCAAACTTCCAAGAATTCATCCGTTCGATGAGTCCATCCTTCGATATCTGCAGGACTCTAAACCTATTTACTGCAAAGTCAGACAGGATCCTTTGACTTATGTTAACGATTCGGGTTTTTTGGTCTTTAACAAGAGTCATGTTCGAGGTTCTTCACCGCCTAATTGTGATTTTAAATACATAATTAGAAAATCCGACGATGTAGTGATCTATACCGATTCTCAAAGCCTTCCATTGGAGGGTGTCATCTTGCAACACGATTTTGTAATTGTCTCGTGCTATAATTTCGCTGGAATTTCTTATTATACTAACTATCACGCTCATATCCACAGGATAGCATTGAAAAAAGTGGAGGATAAAAGAAAAAGATATAATGTCATGCTCTTAGGAATCGATTCATTGTCTAGACTCGCCTTTATAAGGCAACTACCAAAAACTTATAATTATTTAACGAAAGTTATGGGTACTCATGTCCTTAGAGGTATGACTAAAATCGGTGACAATACTTTTCCTAATTTGATAGCTCTCCTAACAGGGAAATTTCCAGAAGAGCTAGCCTTGCCCGAAGACAAAACCTACGATCAGTGGCCTTGCATATGGAAGGATTTCTCCAAAGAAGGATATGCTACGATGTTCGTAGAAGATCGTCCAGATATTAGCCTTTTTAATTATATGAGAAAGGGTTTCCATACTCAACCTACTAATCATTACTTTCGTCCATTTATGATGTCCTTAGAAGATTCAAAAGTTCATCGTTTTAGTTCGCATTTATGCTTCGGCGAGACGCCTAAGCATTTACTTCTTTTGAATTACGCTGACAAGTTTATTAAGAACTATAACTCTTACAGGCCCTATTTTGGCTTTATATTTTTCGTGGAGTTGAGCCACGATTACGTCAGCCAAGTCAGCATAGCTGACGATGACTTAACAAAATGGCTTCGAGACAAGTACGAGAATGACTATCTAAATGACACTATTTTTATCTTATTTTCCGACCACGGTCATCGTTTCGATTCGATAAGGACCACTTTGGTAGGCAGAATCGAAGAAAGGATGCCATTTTTCTCTATATACGTTCCTCCCTCGCTAGTAAGGGAAAATCCACAAATTATGCAAACTCTGGATACCAATACGGGACGTTTGACCACCCCTTTTGATACTTATTACACTTTAATGGATGTTTTGAGACACAATACGGGATCCAAATTAGGATCTACAAGTTCTTCGCGTGGCACAACTTTATTTGGGACTATCTCCTCCGACAGGACGTGTCCTCAAGCTGGCATATCGGAACATTATTGCACTTGCGAAGTCGAAACTACTTTATCTTTATCGGATCCTAAATGCCAAACGGCGAGTACCCTTGTAGTGGATGCCATCAACCATCTTATCTTGGATGAATTTAGCAACAATTCAATTTGTATCAAACTGAACTTTTCCAAACTTCACAGGTGTGAAGAATCCTTGCCGAACAATAAAGTTTTAACGAATTCGCGAGTATATTTTGGTAATTTAATTAGCGACGAAGTGGCTAAAGAAGTGACTTCCAAGTTAAGGATACTCGTTGAAGTGATGCCAAGTGGAGGGCTCTTCGAAGCCACGGTTTTATATTCCAACGATCACGGGACTTATAACGTTATAAACGATATAAGCCGCGTAAATAAGTATGGAAATCAATCGTCTTGCATCGTCGATCCTGTTCTTCGTAAATATTGCTATTGCAACAAGTAATTGTGATAATGTTTAACAATTTTCACTGCCAGAAAAAAACAAGGAATTTTTTAATTTTCGTGTGTATATTTTGTAGAAGAAGAAGAAAAAAAAATTACATATTTTTCCATTAAATTATTACACTTCAAAAGCTTTGAATGTGCCTAAACCATGGACCAATTTGTCTAAAACTAGGACCAAAGTATGAATACCAAGCTGATTTTATTTTTACAACTTGTCTATTTAAAGTTAGTTCGTGGTCCATTTTTTGAGCAAGCTGTACCGTAACAGTATTAAAAAAAATGACAGCAGTATCTAATGGTGCTAAGTTAAATAAAATGCTTATGTTTATTAATAGTTGTTAATGAATGTGTTAATCAATAGTTCAAAATGTGGGCGGTGTCGCCTCCAGTGTGGATTATCTAAGTAGGCGATATGAAAGTAGGCAGTTGGAGGTGACGTTTTTCACTTATGACTGATCAGTTTTATTCAATAACAAATTTTAATTAAATATGATGTTAATTGTTTTCCTTAATGATTCGTGTAAACTTATATTCTAAAAAAATACGTTGGAGTAAGGGGCTCTAGAATGGAATTTATGGAACCACTCAAGCAAGGTCTTTCTTACATTTGTACTCTAAGGATAAAAATTTATTTAATTTATAGAAACTTAAGGTCTTAAATTACTACTATCGATTCCCTCGATCAAGTTTGGAACACGTACACAAAACCATTATAGACTTAGATGTATAATTCGTGAGTAACAAAATTAATACGTGTAAAGTCTGTTGTTAAAAATACAATTTTTCAAGATATAAAAGAAGTTTTTTTATAAATTAAGATTTTGTAAATAAATTTTACAGCAATAATAATACAAATTAGGAAATAATGTGTTTATATGACGAAATACTTTAACTGATTATTAAGGATAAATTGTTAATGGTGGCAATAATGCATTTGCGTAATAATAATATATTAACATATGACAAAGAACAAGATGAATTCTTACATAAATGTCATTTATTTCACAATATTTTATCATATTATAATGATTGATGCACACGCATTAGTACAGAATCGAAAGCAATTCTTGACGAGTAAGTAGTTTCTTGAGATTTTAATTGTTAAATTTCTATAATTTCTGAAATATCTTGATGTTCTCAATTTGTTAAACATTCTAAAACCTTCAGACGATCTACAAATACCCATAAAAGTCAATGCAAAGACCGAATCCATCATGGTCGATGGCAAAATGTATAGAGTTATGGATACCGATCTTCCTAAATCTATAATTAATTTGTATAAAAAATTACGCTTAGAAATAAGAGAAAGTAATCGAATTTGGAAGAAAATAAAGCGAGAGAAACTGTATAAAACATTTAAAGATTTATTAAAGTACAAAATTGGACCTTTTGTAGAGGAAGCAATAGAAAAAGAGCGGCTCCGATTCCTCCGTAAGCGCGAATTTTTCAGCAATCTTCATCGAAATCCTCAATTTTGGGACGAACTAGACAACGATGTAGTGTCTCAATTCGAAGATAAATCGATTAGAAATAAAACAAACTCTAATAAGCCCATAAATATTGTGTTGATTTCAGTTGCAGTGGCAATTTTCATGGCTATGGTCACTGCTTGGTTAATACTAAAGAGAAATGGCAATCCTCATAAATTCTACTCAGTCTCTACCTGCGCTGTCGACCAGAAGAATATAATTACAACGAAACCTAAAATGCAGACAGATAACTTGACTAAATTCCCAAAAAATACGAAGAAACCAGAGCAGCCGAAGATACAAAAATTCGATTTAGTAAAGAAGGATGAAGTACCGAAGAAGACGACGGCATTTTTATCTTCGGATAAAATATCAAAAAAAACGAAATATGAATCAATCGCCAACAAGAACGACAATGGCGACGATAATACCTCTAGCGACGACAATAATTTTTATAGTTTTAGAAGAACTCCGAGCACTTTTTCCTTGGATCGAATCGTCAACGAAGCGGGAATGAAACTTAGAGATAGTAATTTTACGTTTACTCATCAGATGTCGACACGTGTATATTAATATCCGAAGAATTATTTATTTTATTTTTATTTATTTATATTTTAACAATTACAGTGAATAATTCGATAATTCTGTAAATCGTAACGCCAATTNTATCAATTGTTACGTAAGCGTCGTGTTCTGTTTAATGCACAAACGAACACGATAAAGTTTGTCACTCTCGTGTACATTATAAAATATATTTTTATTTATTAAGTAGAATTCTTTAAAATAAAACAAGTATTAGGCCGAACTCGTTAAAGTTTTGCATCTACACGCATCGACGTTATAGTTTCAAGCGTGGTAATTTGTCTGCGTTACATTAACAATTTCTAAAAACTTAAATTGTGTAATAACTAATGTTAAAAATATTCTAGCATGATTTACTATTATTTTTATTTAGAACAGTCGAAGAAATATTGTTTTATGTGCATAAAATGGCATAGAAAATGCACTTTTATGCACATAATTCGGTACATAAAAGTGACTGAAGAAAGACCAACTGAAAAGTCATTAAAATATAATTTAAATTCTGATTTATTTGAGGAATATTTCATTGAATTTACTACATCATTATCTAAATTAGGTAAGAAAAATAAACATATTCAGATATTTTTAAACCGGGTCTAACAAATCCAAAGATTCCATACAGCATGTAGCATAATCGTGATTACTACAGCAATTTAAATACACAATGATTATTAACTTTCCTTATTTAGATAGGTTTATGAATAATCTAAATGTACAATACATAATAAAAAATCAATTACATAATAACACATATCACGATAAATTATATTTTAAAATATTTATTGTAACTATATTAAAAAATATATATATATATTTCGTACACGATAACACAAGATGTCCCAAAAGTCAGATAACTGTATTTTAACGCTTATGAATACGAACTGTAAACTGATAGAAACATTACAGAAATACAATTAATTCGATTGTATTTTATCCTTAATTAATCGTAATTAGTTTTCTGACTTTTGGGCCAAGCTGTATTAAAAACAGGGTGACCCAAAAGTCGGTCAACTATTTTAAGTACGTTTAGAATTAGGCATTTCCTTCGAATTTGTTATGAGTGATAACTTCCCACTTTATTATTATTTCATAATTAATAGTTATGGCTTCCTTTTGTCATAAATTTATAATATAAACTCAGTTTAAAATATGCTTATTGTTTTAACGCTACACGAGGATGTTGCGTTAAAACCTAGGGGGTGCCGCCTATGTACGTAGAAAATCCTCTTTTATATAGAAAGCCCCGTTTACCCGGGAGTTTCTATGAAAGACTTGCCCCTATTTGGATGTTAGAAGCGAAGGAAACACGGAAAACTTCACGTGTCCAGCCTATTGGTAGGGCCCGAACCCGCGACCAATTACCAGTGTTTAGTTGTTTTATCCACTCGATCAATGGTGGGTAATATCGCGGACTAAATCCAGTTTCAAAATAATTTATCTTCGAATTAATTATATAATCTTCTGACGTTTGCAAATTTCTTCTTCCAGGTTTTATAAATGCAAGAAATGACAGCTAAAAAAGTCCTGATTGCATTGGGTATTGCTACTATATGTACCATTTTCATCTTAAATAATGAGATTAACTGGAAATCGGTGAATAATTACAGCGTCGTATACTCCAATTATAATATAGACGAGGAGGAACCATTTCCAGATCCTAAACAGTCCTGCAAACTTCCAAGAATTCATCCGTTCGATGAGTCCATCCTTCGATATCTGCAGGACTCTAAACCTATTTACTGCAAAGTCAGACAGGATCCTTTGACTTATGTTAACGATTCGGGTTTTTTGGTCTTTAACAAGAGTCATGTTCGAGGTTCTTCACCGCCTAATTGTGATTTTAAATACATAATTAGAAAATCCGACGATGTAGTGATCTATACCGATTCTCAAAGCCTTCCATTGGAGGGTGTCATCTTGCAACACGATTTTGTAATTGTCTCGTGCTATAATTTCGCTGGAATTTCTTATTATACTAACTATCACGCTCATATCCACAGGATAGCATTGAAAAAAGTGGAGGATAAAAGAAAAAGATATAATGTCATGCTCTTAGGAATCGATTCATTGTCTAGACTCGCCTTTATAAGGCAACTACCAAAAACTTATAATTATTTAACGAAAGTTATGGGTACTCATGTCCTTAGAGGTATGACTAAAATCGGTGACAATACTTTTCCTAATTTGATAGCTCTCCTAACAGGGAAATTTCCAGAAGAGCTAGCCTTGCCCGAAGACAAAACCTACGATCAGTGGCCTTGCATATGGAAGGATTTCTCCAAAGAAGGATATGCTACGATGTTCGTAGAAGATCGTCCAGATATTAGCCTTTTTAATTATATGAGAAAGGGTTTCCATACTCAACCTACTAATCATTACTTTCGTCCATTTATGATGTCCTTAGAAGATTCAAAAGTTCATCGTTTTAGTTCGCATTTATGCTTCGGCGAGACGCCTAAGCATTTACTTCTTTTGAATTACGCTGACAAGTTTATTAAGAACTATAACTCTTACAGGCCCTATTTTGGCTTTATATTTTTCGTGGAGTTGAGCCACGATTACGTCAGCCAAGTCAGCATAGCTGACGATGACTTAACAAAATGGCTTCGAGACAAGTACGAGAATGACTATCTNTGTAAAGGGTGCGGTCTAAAACACTAATAGTTGCTAGGCAACGGAAGACGATGAAGGTTTCCATAGCAACGCCGTTACGTAGCATTTGTAGGTCAGCCGAAGCTGAGCGTTGCAATGTGTGAAATGCTTATTCGACTTTTATAAATTATTATCGTCGTTACGGGGACAAGTAACTTTATAAGGGGAAGAAATCTTTAACAGATTGTAAAATTGAGGGCTTATAAATCATAGATTTTAAAGCGGATTCACCGAATTACTCTTTAAAAAAATTTAAAAAATTAAAAAAAAAAAAATATGTATGGTACAAATGCATTTTAGGTGACTCCATTTTGTTGTCTTACAAGAATTCGTCATTGATATATTTGAAATTTAGAAAGTTTGTACGGAGCGGAGAAGAGTATAAAGAAGTTGAGATTTTGTATTTGTGTTTCTAATCAATCTAGATGATAGAAAAAGAGAATAAGAGAGAGAGAGAGAGATGATTCCGCCCCCACTTTTGGCATCCAGTTCCGAAAATACCATCCACATCGATTGCTTGTTGTCATGGCGGTATGGTCGGTAGAGAGAAAACTCAGTTTTGTATTTAAAGGGCAACTTACTTTATGTGGGCGATTCGGAAACTACACTCCTTTAAAAACAAAAAAAAATCAAAAGAAAGAAAAAACGGGGGAGGTGTAACAATCTAGGAAATAACAGAAGAAAGAAAAATAGGATTTTTATCTCAATCTACCATAGAATCGCTCGCTTTTTTAAACGTTACTAGGCGATTCATTGCTTCCAAACTAAATTTGAATAGTATCTACGATACGTGCACGCTTTATACAAACAAAATATATTAAACTACAGATAAGATATATATAAAGTCGAACATAAAAAAAAAAAAGATCTTTAGGCATTCATCGTACATTAGGTTTTAGTAATCGATAAACTCCGCAAGTACCGGAAGTGAAGCGGGCCTTTACGATCGACATTTCAGAAATCTCATAACTCAGTTATCCTCGGAGCACCTTTTCTTTGATAGCAAACTATCGACCTTGACCGGATCGCCATAACATAGAAAATGCATAAAAAAAAAGTACACACACACACACACACACACATATATATATATATATATATATATATGTTATGGGTGATACTAACATTTACGATCGAAGTACAGGTAGCCATTTTGTAACCTTATATAGGCTTTTATAAACGTGTTTAGTTCCTTTAAACCGTTTTCTATTGTTCCTATTGAGTTAATTGAAGTTCTAATCCGAATAACTTCAATTAAAATTGTAATATAATACATAAAAGACGCGAGAAACGTGTTGTATAATAATTTTCAATAAATTAATAACAACCCCTTTCGATTCTTCTCTATAAAAATACGCGAAACGATTTAAAAGCGCCGATTTTATTCTTATACAGTAAAAGGTAGACGATTTAGCCGTGTTATTTTTAAATTGTTCGGATGTTACACTCAATTTTTTTTTTTAAATAAAACGTTAAATAAACAAGATAACTTTGGTTTTTTTTTTCGGTAGAAATCCCGATTCGGCCATTACATTTCCGTCACAAACTACAATTAATGCTTTTCCATTCATAATTATGCACTTCCATCTGGTGGCAATTATCTTGCGAAATATCATTAATATTTGTCATATAAATTTACATTTCAGAGATAAAACACTAAATGCTCTTTAAATATCAGTTATTTATAGTATTTAAAATATAATTTTTTAACTTTAAAATAATGTTTAAACGTGCGTTTAATTTAAAATATATATATATATAAATANAAATTGGTCTTAGATCGATCAAACCGATCGATATATAAATAGGAATCTTATCGAATTCAAACACGCTGATTACTCAAACGGAAGAAAGTTCGTTTTAAAATTCCATTTTTATCGTTAGAGGAAAGTGCATTAGTTTTTTCCCCCTTAAAAAAATAATAATAAATTGCGTACGGGAAAAGTTTCTTTTTTTTAAAAAAAAAAAAGATGCATTTTTAATGGTTGTCGAATATAAATGTGGCAAGTGAGTATCGCTTTGCCAAAGGTTTTGTTTTTGGTTTTCCACTCGCTAGGCTTATCTTATCAATTTGCATTCCGTATGCCAAGAGAAGAGCGACAAAATGATTCGATGCTGGCATTATTTACGTCATTCTGTCACGTTGTAGATCTGGCTTTTATCCTTTGAAACTCCGTGGACCGCTTCTCATATTGTGACAAGGGTTGAGTCTTAACCTCTTCATCCTCTCATCTTTCTACTTCGCTCGTAAGCCATTTTGTCTTGCCATTCATCTCCTCGATCCGCCCCGAGCTATTTAATCACTGTATTTCTTGGCTACTTAGCATCGTAAACTCTAACAATATATATATATAGAGAAAGCCCCGTGTTTTATGTTTATCGTCATATACCACCGATAACTGTTTGACCTTTAATCTTCGGTCTCTATCTACACGCCCCCTTTTGATTGTTACGAGGTCGCGCTTACGTCATTCGGCACAGTTATCTGTTTTTCTTAATTATTGCGTTTGTTTACTGTGTTTTGTAACTGTTGTAACAACACAGCATTCGGGAATAACGAAAGATAAATTCAAAATTTCATTCTCCATACTTGGATAGTTACGTCCGTGTTACTCGGTGGTCGTTGGCGTGACGTCAGCCGTCGGCTGATCCTATTGGATGTTCGCCAAGTGTCTTGTTGTGATGTCATTAACGCTGTATAAATACACGTGTATATTTTTACACGCTGACAAAGTATAGGGGGCGTAAATTATTTTACGAAATCTCCGAAACTTAATTTTAGACTTACGAAAGGTTATCAATACGAGCGGCCGTCATTATAAAAGTATTTTCTCTTTTTGGATGATATACCTGTGTTTGGCATCTTTCCCTATTCCCCTATACGGAGTGGCACGGCAACGAGCACGTGACCGTCTTCTTTCTCAACCGTGACGTGTAATTGACGTCATATGTTTTAATTCATATCAATCCCGCATTGTCGTAAGTGATATCGCATGACCGGATTGCTTGATAATTTTATTTAAATATTAGTCCAAAAAACAAACAAATTAATGTGTATATATATATATATATATATATATATATATATATGTTATGGGTGATACTAACATTTACGATCGAAGTACAGGTAGCCATTTTGTAACCTTATATAGGCTTTTATAAACGTGTTTAGTTCCTTTAAACCGTTTTCTATTGTTCCTATTGAGTTAATTGAAGTTCTAATCCGAATAACTTCAATTAAAATTGTAATATAATACATAAAAGACGCGAGAAACGTGTTGTATAATAATTTTCAATAAATTAATAACAACCCCTTTCGATTCTTCTCTATAAAAATACGCGAAACGATTTAAAAGCGCCGATTTTATTCTTATACAGTAAAAGGTAGACGATTTAGCCGTGTTATTTTTAAATTGTTCGGATGTTACACTCAATTTTTTTTTTTAAATAAAACGTTAAATAAACAAGATAACTTTGGTTTTTTTTTTCGGTAGAAATCCCGATTCGGCCATTACATTTCCGTCACAAACTACAATTAATGCTTTTCCATTCATAATTATGCACTTCCATCTGGTGGCAATTATCTTGCGAAATATCATTAATATTTGTCATATAAATTTACATTTCAGAGATAAAACACTAAATGCTCTTTAAATATCAGTTATTTATAGTATTTAAAATATAATTTTTTAACTTTAAAATAATGTTTAAACGTGCGTTTAATTTAAAATATATATATATATAAATATAATAATTTTATATTAGAAAATAAGTAATGAGTCCGCATCGTACAGTTGAAGCAATTGAGTGTGGATGATAGATGCAACCTAAGAGGCGAAAAATCCCTAAATATGGAATATTAATCCCTAAAGATTTAAAAAGGCGGATCGAAACAGGTAAAATTTCTCAAATTTAATGAATTATTATTATTTTTTTTTAGTTTAAAACAAATTTAATAATGGTTAGTTAATTAATGGCGGAATATTTTCCTTTGGCATAAAATTTTATAACAAATTCTTGGTTCGATTTATGTGCCAGGTAATTTTTCAGCTTGACGTATGCATCATTTATATGGAAGTAAAATATAAAAGTAAAAAGAAAAAGAAAAAAAAAATCCCTAAAAAATCAAACCCCCGATACTGTAGACGTATTACGCGATATATCAGCTTATTGCGACATAAATATAATTTAAAATAAAAGAAATTATTACAATGTTTTCCCTTAGGAACTTTTCTGCATGGTCACCTCCGAATCTCAACCGTAAATATTGAATTTAATTTATAGTTTAAAAAAAAAAACTTTATAAGCTGAGAAAATAATACTGTATATAAGTTATTTATATTATTTAAAAGTCGAATTTAAATAATTTAATAATATCAAATATGTAGAAAATATAAAGCTTTATTATTATTATTGTTATTATTTTCTCTACTTTAAGAAACATTTTATATTCATATCATAAGAAAGAAACCAGTTACTAAGTGGCATAATAATAATAATAATATAATTTTTTATTATTATATGAAGAATACAATTGTAAATAAACTACATAAATTGTATAAAATTTTATGAAAATTGCCATTATTTACTTTATATTTCTTCTTATTTGTCTATTTGGAAACAGGATTTAAACTTTGAAAATTGATGGATTTTCGTGATGTAGAAGAATTTACTTTCATCCCATATTTAGTCCTATATGGGATGAAAGAAACAAAAAAAAAAAAAAATGGCCGTGGGAAAAAATCCTGCTAAAGAGTGTTGAAATTGGAAAAATATAAAATAAAAAAAAAACTGTGGTCCTAATTATAAGACGGGGAATCGTATATGACAAATCTCTATAAAGATATAAACCGAAAATAAGCTAAGAGAAGAAGAAATTTTGACAGATCGTGACACGTGCTGAATTTCGCGTGAGGACAGCAACAGCACGATTTCTGTCAATCAAATTATAATGAGATATAGGCGTGTAAGCACGTTTAAACGTCTGAGCAAACGTTATATTTGTAAAGAAAATTACAGGGGAGGGGGGGGAAAGCGCGTCATGTAACGTAAGCAAACGTTGAAACAACCTATTTAAAGCGTACAGCCTGTATATATGGAACAAAATAGATTTCTACAATTACGTTTATGGCCCATCAAGTTTTATAATGATACAAGAGGCTAGTTAATATTTACAAGTGTTGGCTTTCAATAATTGATGAGAGAAAGAGACAGAGCCATTATCGATAACGTTTAGTTTGATCCGAACGTTATAAAATTCAATTAAAAACCAATGAGTGGGAGGGGGGTCAAGAAACTTCGCTTAGGAGAGAGAGGGGGACTTAAACATAATATGGCAACGAAAACAATTCAATTCAAACAAGCTATTTGGAAAACTTTGTAAGTTATGTGTATTCAGAATGGTACAAAATGGCGAAATCAATGACAGAATGGATGGAGGTTTCTTTTTTGCTTGGTTGCAATTCCATTAACTTATATGGCACAGAAGCAATAAGGAACGTTATCCTAACTCCATTAATAAATACTTTTAAAGTTTTAATAACAATTAATTTCGTGTGAAAGTATTTACCCGAACTTTACTGAAAAATCCTTTATATAAAACACTAAATAACAATTAAAATATTACACTTTTTCCTTTCTTCTATACAATTTAATTACATTTGGAGTATTGATATAATTCATTTGCCTTTTTTTTTTTTTAAGAAAGTAAGACGAATTTTTATTATTTTCTTTTAAAAGATTTTTATACACAACCCGACATTTTTATTTCTACCAATCAAAGAATAATATCTCACGTGCAGTGACGATTTTTAAAATTACCGTTACTATAGTAACAGCGTGACAGCTGTCAAGGACATGAGTTCGCATTTCTTATTTTACGTTATTTTATTTGTTTATTTATTTATTTAAATTTCCTTTTTTTTTTTTAAGAAAGTAAGACGAATTTTTATTATTTTCTTTTAAAAGATTTTTATACACAACCCGACATTTTTATTTCTACCAATCAAAGAATAATATCTCACGTGCAGTGACGATTTTTAAAATTACCGTTACTATAGTAACAGCGTGACAGCTGTCAAGGACATGAGTTCGCATTTCTTATTTTACGTTATTTTATTTGTTTATTTATTTATTTAAATTTAACACAAATATAAATTTATTTTTAAGAGCTTGTAATCGCTTGTATGTTTTTTTTTAAAGCTGTCAATAAATATAGTGTTGCCAGATTAAATTTTTTTTAAAAAAATATATTAAATTAATAAAAGAGCGTATAAAATACTTACTAAACGTTAATATTACATAATATATTTTACAAAATATTCTTATCTGTTGATAAAATTATTAAGAGTATTTAATCTTTTATCGTTCTTCCCTCGTACGTTCGGTGACGTCAAGCACGTGACTGATTTGTTATGGAGTGACGTCATTAGGCAGACGAACACCTGTTACTTAAATAAACAAAAAACAGAACAAAACCTACGTCTTTTTACGAGATTATGTGTCATGTTTCGAACATTTTTTTTAAAAATCGCCGGTTACTTTTCCATCCATTTTTTTTATATTATTATTATAAACTCATCAATAATTTATATTTAATCGTTTCCTATTTAAAGTATACGTCAATGAACCGAAACTGTTACGTCACTGATCGTGTACACAAAATTCCTGACGTGTAGGGGAGGTCACGTGAACGGAATAGATAATTGACGTCACATATTCTCAAGGTCTAGACCTTGGACATTAGTACAGGATGTTTTCGGTAAAAACTCTTTTATCATGTTATTTAATTGTATATGACGTGAATAATACTGGTATAAAAGTGATATTATATATACTGTACGTTTTGTATACGTTGGCGTACAGTACAGTACGTCACATGTCAAGGATTTAGGTAAAAACTAATAAAAGTTTATTTAATTGCAACTGATATTAAATAAATATTACAGGATAAAAATGGCGAAAATACAATTTTATTTGATTTTTTTTTACAAGTTTTAACAAGGAAAAAATAAAACCAATATATCTATTTATCTTGCAGAATTACCATAGCGTACGTAATCTTGTTATATCAACCAGAAAAAATCGGAAAATATTTATATATAATTTTCCTAAACAGAAATAAGGAAAGATAAATTATGTTTTCAATTCATAAATATTCTCTATTTATTTATTTTTATTATTATTAAATAATAATTTTTAATAAAATATAATGCATTTTATAACCTGCCATCNGGGTGTGCCAAAAATTTGTCATCCAAAATGACTCGAATCAACTGTGTCAACAACAGAACTGGCTGTAGTTCATCTATTTAAACAAAAGTGGCGTTTTATATACAATTGATATTCTACCTTTTTTCCCTCTTCTTCTTCTTTTATTTTTGTTTTTCTTTCTGTTGTTAAATAAAGAAAATTCCTCCCCTCTCCTCTGTTATTTTCTTCGTTCCCCCATTTTATCGATATAATAGTAATAATAATAAAAAGAAATTTAACGACAGTCTCCTGCTATAATTTTTTTTTTCTATAAAGTTTCTGTAACATTTGCAATATATTTTCTCCTTCTCTTTTTTCTGTAAGTAAAGAAAGAAAGAAGAGAGAAAAAAAAAGCGATTTCATTCTTAGCCAACGACACATTATGGTCTGTGATTCAATCGATTAGTTAAGAGTCATAAGTCTCCATTGCTGCCAAGGGCTTTAGGAAGCATTGATTCTTGACCTAATTATACTTAACTAAATGATGTATTATCTACAGATTTAAAACGAACAAAAATGTAATTCGTTAATAGGATATCAATTAGATACCTTCCCCCCCCAGTAATTGATTTATTACTCTGTCGACGATGTGTATATTTTCGTATCGTTTACGTAACAATGGTTTGTGTTATTACTGTTACGTCATTCCACCCTCTTTGTCCACATTCGCAGGTATCCTCTTACCTCATTCTTAAAAATAACCCGCCGAAAGTGTCCTTGTGTTTGACCTCTCCGTCAAACGAAAGATTCCGTTGGATGACGCTGTTTTCGGCTCCTACTACTCAGCATTTTAACTGTTGTTTGGTATTTTGGTTTGGCATTAAGAAAACCCTAAAATAGATTAATGCGTCATCTTTACTAAGTAACTCCATCTTCTCGCGCCCCTGTAAAGCGTGCTCGACCGTAAAGCGCTGCAGCTACGTTAGAAAGCCCGGAGGGAAAGTGACAGATTATTTGGAGGAAATTTTTGTTTTTATTATTATTTATTTTTAAAACACCTTAAGGGTATTTAAAACTAAATTGTATATTAATTTTAAAAAGAAGAATATAATTTTCTAATATTTTGCTGTATAAATTTACTTCTTTCTTTCATACATGATTTTTTAAAATTATATTCGAGTTTTAGGGCATTACATATATACATAATTTAGTATATTTTCAAATTTAAATATTTAAGACAGGTATATGAATATATCTACATATGTTTTCCTCTACTTATTTTTATGTAAAAGAAGGATAAATGAAAACGTAAGAAGAGTAATTCTTTCAGGTAAATATACTTTTAGATATCTTTTCCTAAAGAGTTTAACTGGAGGAAGAGCTCTTATATGTCGTCAGTTGTTGCTATAGTAACAACAGACAGCTGGGTCATTTGAATTAGTTGCAGTCGACAACATCCCCATGATGTTATTTTAAGTAGGTAAATTATTGGCCAAGTAACAATTTATTACATGTGAAGAAACTTTTTTTTTTCTTAATTTTCCCCCTTGCCTATTGATTCTCTATTTTATGAGGCTTCTATTAATTTATCTGTTTTAATATTTATATTATATAATTATTGAATTCAATTTCTATATATAAACATTTCTGTTTACTTCACTACTGGTAGGGAAATTTTTTTAAATATTATTTATTTTATAACAAAGTAAATATGACAGATTGAAGGGTCTTAAATCATATCTCGTTTCCCTTTCTTTTATACCTTCAGATTTATCTATTGAGAAAGAAAATAAAATAAAATATTTTTCCTTTAGTGAGCAAAAAAAAAAATAAAAACATTTTAAGGAAAATGTTATTACATGTAATGTTTTCTAGGGATATATATATATATATATTGAAGCGAGAGGGAAATTTAAAATTCGTAAGAGCGTATCATCGATAAACGTTTAGGGAACTTTTTATCAATTTTTTTAGGGAAAAATCGCTAATTTTATAAGTAGATTTCTTTACTAATAGGGAGAAAATGAGGAAATTACCTTGGATTTTTTTAAACTCTAGGGAAATTTCCTCATCTTCTATGTTTATCCATTCGACATTCGATTTTTCTTTCGAAAAATTCTGTAAAAAATCATTCACGAGACATTTCCGAGATGGTAAACAACGTTTAAAAATAACTTGAACTGAAATCGAACTTAACCCAAATAAGTATATATACATAAAAATATATTTATACTAATTGAATATTAATTAAGAACAACCGAAAACTTAAATACTGACGTAAATCATTCATTTTGTAAGAGGAAAAATCTTTGTTTTCATCGAAGAATAGAAAATGGCTGTCTTTGTTGCCCAGGCGAACAGCTGGAAGCATTCTATCACCTCTACACTGCGTACGATATATACTTAACAATAAAAATCATTTTTCTCAACAAAAATTCCATCAAACGTTAAACGAATATTAAAAGTTTAATTTACATTAATTCAATTGGAATAAATCTGATAATTAAATCCTTCGGGAGCGATTAACCGCCGCATTAATTATCGCGGAATGTTATCTGCCACATCGCTCTCGGCGGAATGATTTACCAGGATGTGATGAGGCTGGATATATATGAGAAGCGCAGAAGCTGGAGCTCCGCTGGACCCAAAGTGGGTGAGAGGAGAACTTCATACTGTATGTGGTTGGTACTGAAAACTGGTTAAAGAAAAAAAACATATATATATATTAACAAAAGGAAGGTAGCAACTTCAGTGCTTATCATCATTGCCTGTTCAATAATCTCAAGACTTTTTATACTTTTTTATAAGCAAGATAATATATTGATTGTATGTCTACCTGACGAAAGGTGAGTGTGTCATCCTACTGGCCGACTGCCCTGTAGCCCTCTTATCCCTTTTATACGCGAAATTACTTATCTATAAGTTATCGCTTACGTTAATAATTCAAAATAATTAACATATTTTAAACCATTTCCTCGTTTTATACAATTAGAAATGGCTTCTACTACTACTACTACACACTTATAACGAGCCGTGTATTAAACAATTTTTTTTTACTACGTGCGGAGTATCAATATGTTTATGAATTGTAAGCTGGTATCGATCCGTATACGATTTTTTTACGTGTTATTAGCATATTAATGACGATTAAGAAAGTTTTTCCATGATATTAGCACGCTCCAGTTCAGATATAGTTAATGAGCTTTAAGGCAGGATTTTTTTTTTTTTTTAATTTTACCCCCCTCGTATATGTTTCGTACTAGTAGCTGAGGCTATTAATTGTTACGTCATCATGTGTGTTTGTATTGTATGCGTGTGTGTATGTGTGTGTAGTTACAATAAGTGAACACCTGTCATCGTGTACAGGTAGAAAACATGTTTAAATTGTCATCTTATATTTGTAGAATTTATTATGAGTGTTTTTATTATATATCTGACTCGAACAGATGTTTAGTTTCGATCTCAATTCACGCTTTTCCGGTACGTGGCTCTATTGATTCGGGTTCCCAATTTAGTCGCAGGACTAAAGAGGGAGTATATTTGTGGTGCGCTTCTTAAAAAACACGTAAAATAAAATAAAAAAAGAAAGAAAGAAAAGAAATATATATATATATATTTGTCAACGATTCTTTAAATTCTAGATGATTAAATTTGTACTGAATAACAATCGGTTCTGTTATTTTTGAAGACTGTTTCTTCGTACTACGCTATACCATGCTATTTTAGGACCTCCCCTATTTCCGGTGTGTTTTTGGTTATAGAAAAGAGGCAATACCATTATTGGTGTTGCAAAAAGTAACACGGTTTGCATCTCTTAATGAAAAAAAAAAAAACTTGTGTTATATATACTACTTTAAACTAACTTCGTATGTTTATTTATTTTTTTGCTTCCAATCTTTCTTAAGAAGAATCGATTAGCTAAACAAAAACAATCGATTTTTTTTAATGTTTACACTCATTGCACAGTTATTCCTAACCGATCTGATATTTTTATGGAAGTAGCACTGCCTGGCATTTTAATAATTTTCTTCCTAATCGTTAAAAATTCCTTCCTTCTTATACATTTTACTCGTTTATGCGATTTAATAGACCATGCAAAATTTTACTTATTTTATTTTTTTTAATTTCTTCGGATTGATTACTCATTTACTTTTTTCTCCCTCCTCGTCTTATTTTTTTTTTTATTTTCTAATTTTGTAAAAATATTATTTAAAAATTTTTAACGATAATATTATTAGTTATAATATCATTAATTCTAAAACACGAAAATCACGATTTATAAATAGTTTTGTTAGGAATTACATTGCAATTCCTAAAGTCGATTGCGTAAACATCCAATCCTGCCGTTTTCCACCCCCAGGTGGCGTTTCCAGTGTCCTTGAAAGGACAGCACGTGATGCGCAAGCGTCGATGACGTAGATCCATCCGCACTTCCTATTGACCAATCAAACGAATGCATACGGTCGTTCTAACTGTTCTATTCGACGTGTTGCGTTCAATCTTCAATGTCAATTAATAATAATAATAATAATAATAATAAAATTGCAGTTATTTAATGCAGAAAGAAAATTTACGTTAAATTCCCTATTTTATTTTATTTTTTAAATCGATTAGAAAATTTAACAGTTTCGCACTTTTTTGTTTTTTTTTTTTTTGAATTTTTAGCCAGTTACGCAATTGGTTCGATCGTGTCACGTGATCCGGCAATAATTTATTACGTTTAGAAGCGAAAGTGAAGGGGGAAAGGGGATAAATTGAAGTATTTCTCGCTTTATTTCATCGTAAAAAATAATCAAAGTGGAAAATCGGTTAGATAGACTTCTCGCTCTAATGGAGAAAGCCATCGAATGTGACTAAAGATGGCCGAGTTGGTAGTTTTAGTACTTGTAAATGTCTCGAGTTGTTATGGACGCCTTTAGAATTGTTACATCTGTGCGGAATTTGTTTCTGAAGCACGAAATTGCTCCTGTAAGACGATAGTGCCATAGACGAATGCTACAATTGGCACGTTTCTTGGGTACAAGTAGCGATTACGCTTGAATTACCTTCCTAGATAGGATCGGCCTTTGTAAAGTTTGCAGAAAACAAGATATATGTGGTTTGTGTGTATGTGTACACGAAAAAAAAATCCACGTACAGTTTAAAAATATATATATATATGGAAGAGTATTAAACAGCGTGCTTACACGCCGATCAATACGGAGATGACAAAACATATTGCTGGTCCAAGATGGCCGTACCAGAATTGTAGGACGTGGAAATTAGTACAGCCTCGTCTTTCAAACTTTTGATATCGTTAATTAACAAGTTTGAAGTGGTTTCAATTGCTTAAATGTCGATCCACCCACTAAAAGATCGCGTTACTCTTATCGTAAGAACCGTACCCGATGCGGCTTGCGTGTTTGTGTGTATGTTATATATGCTAATATATATCAATCTACAGGAACTGTACTAGGAATATTGCCCGAGTACGGCATTAAATTGGTCTTAGATCGATCAAACCGATCGATATATAAATAGGAATCTTATCGAATTCAAACACGCTGATTACTCAAACGGAAGAAAGTTCGTTTTAAAATTCCATTTTTATCGTTAGAGGAAAGTGCATTAGTTTTTTCCCCCTTAAAAAAATAATAATAAATTGCGTACGGGAAAAGTTTCTTTTTTTTAAAAAAAAAAAAAAAGATGCATTTTTAATGGTTGTCGAATATAAATGTGGCAAGTGAGTATCGCTTTGCCAAAGGTTTTGTTTTTGGTTTTCCACTCGCTAGGCTTATCTTATCAATTTGCATTCCGTATGCCAAGAGAAGAGCGACAAAATGATTCGATGCTGGCATTATTTACGTCATTCTGTCACGTTGTAGATCTGGCTTTTATCCTTTGAAACTCCGTGGACCGCTTCTCATATTGTGACAAGGGTTGAGTCTTAACCTCTTCATCCTCTCATCTTTCTACTTCGCTCGTAAGCCATTTTGTCTTGCCATTCATCTCCTCGATCCGCCCCGAGCTATTTAATCACTGTATTTCTTGGCTACTTAGCATCGTAAACTCTAACAATATATATATATAGAGAAAGCCCCGTGTTTTATGTTTATCGTCATATACCACCGATAACTGTTTGACCTTTAATCTTCGGTCTCTATCTACACGCCCCCTTTTGATTGTTACGAGGTCGCGCTTACGTCATTCGGCACAGTTATCTGTTTTTCTTAATTATTGCGTTTGTTTACTGTGTTTTGTAACTGTTGTAACAACACAGCATTCGGGAATAACGAAAGATAAATTCAAAATTTCATTCTCCATACTTGGATAGTTACGTCCGTGTTACTCGGTGGTCGTTGGCGTGACGTCAGCCGTCGGCTGATCCTATTGGATGTTCGCCAAGTGTCTTGTTGTGATGTCATTAACGCTGTATAAATACACGTGTATATTTTTACACGCTGACAAAGTATAGGGGGCGTAAATTATTTTACGAAATCTCCGAAACTTAATTTTAGACTTACGAAAGGTTATCAATACGAGCGGCCGTCATTATAAAAGTATTTTCTCTTTTTGGATGATATACCTGTGTTTGGCATCTTTCCCTATTCCCCTATACGGAGTGGCACGGCAACGAGCACGTGACCGTCTTCTTTCTCAACCGTGACGTGTAATTGACGTCATATGTTTTAATTCATATCAATCCCGCATTGTCGTAAGTGATATCGCATGACCGGATTGCTTGATAATTTTATTTAAATATTAGTCCAAAGAACAAACAAATTAATGTATATATATATATATATATATATATACGTATCAAAATATTTACCGATCGTTGCAGGATACGGCGCCATTTTTGTTAATCGCGTTTAGTCGTTAATTTATCAAAGTAATTAATAAAGCATCCCTTCCTCCGTCGTGGAGCGGTTGAAGTGAAAAGGAGCCTGCGTGTCTGCTTTTCACTTCCGGTCACATGACCTTAGCATATGCGGAAGTGTGTTGCAGCCAATCGACATCTAGGTCCCGAGTCATTGACCCGCTGGAAGAGAAACGCCGGTTGGCGAGCGGAGATGAAAGATAGAGCTTCTTTATTCGCTTCGGGAATGCAATTTTCAGCTTCCGAAAGCGATAGAAGGCGATCGCTTTCCATCCTCGCTCCCATTCAACCACGTTCTAATTAACTTAGTTTAAATATTTATCAATAAAACCGGGCTTTAAACAATGGAAGAACAAGGAACGACAAACCCGAGATTCGGGGTTCGTACACACGCTAAATACATTGGTTTTTAAGTAATCAAACGCGATCAGTATGTCGCACCTTGGCCCATTTTTGTCTGTTCTCGTGTCCTTGAAATGTCTTAGGCGGTTGGGGTGTGCCAAAAATTTGTCATCCAAAATGACTCGAATCAACTGTGTCAACAACAGAACTGGCTGTAGTTCATCTATTTAAACAAAAGTGGCGTTTTATATACAATTGATATTCTACCTTTTTTCCCTCTTCTTCTTCTTTTATTTTTGTTTTTCTTTCTGTTGTTAAATAAAGAAAATTCCTCCCCTCTCCTCTGTTATTTTCTTCGTTCCCCCATTTTATCGATATAATAGTAATAATAATAAAAAGAAATTTAACGACAGTCTCCTGCTATAATTTTTTTTTTCTATAAAGTTTCTGTAACATTTGCAATATATTTTCTCCTTCTCTTTTTTCTGTAAGTAAAGAAAGAAAGAAGAGAGAAAAAAAAAGCGATTTCATTCTTAGCCAACGACACATTATGGTCTGTGATTCAATCGATTAGTTAAGAGTCATAAGTCTCCATTGCTGCCAAGGGCTTTAGGAAGCATTGATTCTTGACCTAATTATACTTAACTAAATGATGTATTATCTACAGATTTAAAACGAACAAAAATGTAATTCGTTAATAGGATATCAATTAGATACCTTCCCCCCCCAGTAATTGATTTATTACTCTGTCGACGATGTGTATATTTTCGTATCGTTTACGTAACAATGGTTTGTGTTATTACTGTTACGTCATTCCACCCTCTTTGTCCACATTCGCAGGTATCCTCTTACCTCATTCTTAAAAATAACCCGCCGAAAGTGTCCTTGTGTTTGACCTCTCCGTCAAACGAAAGATTCCGTTGGATGACGCTGTTTTCGGCTCCTACTACTCAGCATTTTAACTGTTGTTTGGTATTTTGGTTTGGCATTAAGAAAACCCTAAAATAGATTAATGCGTCATCTTTACTAAGTAACTCCATCTTCTCGCGCCCCTGTAAAGCGTGCTCGACCGTAAAGCGCTGCAGCTACGTTAGAAAGCCCGGAGGGAAAGTGACAGATTATTTGGAGGAAATTTTTGTTTTTATTATTATTTATTTTTAATTAAATAATCGTCGAAACTAGATAATTTAACCACGAAAATACTGGAATTTAACAACGGAAGACGGGAGGGGGATTAACGTTTATTCTTTAATCTATCGACTGGGTAGACGTACAGCTTATGGTTCTCCCCAAACCCCGGGATGCATCGATAAGTATTGACGTCAGTAGCGGGTGAGCATGCGCAGTTAATGGAAAAAGCAAACAAGAAGAGGCAGCTTTCCCTGCGACGAAAGTAGGACATCGATTTTGTTTGATGCTCTTTCAGCTGTCCTGAACAAGATCGAAGGCGCTCCTATGCTGCTTTCTGGTGTAAACAAAGTCACTTCCAATGCCGTGTTTTAGGGGATAGTAAATCCTTTAATAGTCGACCAGAAGAGACAGAGTATGGGCCAAAATATAATAGTCTTGCATACGCCACTGCACGCTTGGATTATCTCGAGAGAGGCTAATTTTCTAAAGTACTCTTAAATATGCACGTCTTGGCTTTTTACCCTATCTACTAAAGGATTTTAATTTTAAAACTGGGTAAATATTTTTATCCTCGTTTAAATTTAGTTCCGCATGTTAAGAAGATTTTTGTTTACTCTAGAAAAGTAATAAACGTTACGCGATGACCTGATATTCTCTTCCTCTCTCTCTCTCCCTATATATATATATATGTGTGTGTGTGTAGGTATATAAACATATAATTTTTACTTCCTTTTAATAAATTTTCTAAGATAACTAATTTAAATAGATTATTTTTTTTATTTATTCCTGTGTTTTTGTTTGCAGATAACGTTGAAAATTTCGAGGCATTCCAATTAANAAATTTTCTAAGATAACTAATTTAAATAGATTATTTTTTTTATTTATTCCTGTGTTTTTGTTTGCAGATAACGTTGAAAATTTCGAGGCATTCCAATTAAAATTGAGCACAACGTATATTGTAACGAAAGTATTAAAAATATTACTTAAACGTAAGCAAAAAGATCTGAAAAAAACCTGAACGAAACATCATACGATGCATGTGGAAATTCAAGTTGCTCTCAATTTTTTTATTTCTTTCCTTTACAACAAACTGCCACGAAGGAGGGTTAACCAGTTCGGAGAAGAATTAGAAAAGGCTCTGAAGCTCAAATTTCAGGGACATTGGTATCCAGAGAAGCCATATAAAGGTTCTGGGTTTCGGTGTTTGAAAACCACTCCACCTTTAGATCCTGTATTCGAAATCGCTGCCAGGGATAGTGGGATGGATCTCGTAGACATCCAAGAAAACTTACCGCAAGAACTCAGCATCTGGATAGATCCCGGTGAAGTTTCGTATAGAATGGGTGAAAAGGGTCAAGTAAAAATTCTCTACAGTGAGATGGAAGGAGTGGAAGGCGAAAGTAATGATCGGGAAATCACAAAGACATTTAACCCAGAAGCACAATGTTTCAAACCAGTCGACAGCATGGCTTGTCAGCTGGGTAACTTGAATTTGACAACCACAACAACCGCTCCTACTCCCTACAACAGTTCCCCTTCGCCCACTTACAAGTCCGGAAGTCCCGTCAATACTTTTATCCCCAAATCTTCAGCACCTTTGACCTTCACAACAGCTACCTTTGCGCAAACGAAATTTGGATCAACCAAGTTGAAGACAAATACGAAACGATGCCACAGGCTTTCCCCCACTGAATTCAATTACATCAAACAACGGGCCATCGTACAACAGCAAAATCAACAGCAACAACAGGGCCATCCTTCCACAGCAGCCGCCATGTTCGCAGCAGCGGCAGTAGCCGCTACGAATCCTCAACGACCACGATCGCTATCTCCTAATCCTCAACCGCCGCTCGATCCCAGCTTCTTGCTTTTGGCCACAGGACGACAACAACAACAACAGCAACAACAGCAGCAACAAGGAAATCAGGGCCATTTCTCCCCGCCGACCAGTCGATCTTTCGGAAACAACGGTGTTTTCGACAGTGGCTATTTGGCCGATTTCTTCACGTCAAGTGGCAATAACGGTGCCAAAAGCCAACAGGGTCAGAGATCAAACGCCGCCGCTACAAACAACAGACTTTCGTTATTCTTCGACAAACAATTTGCTACTGGTAACGCTACCAACACCGCTAACGGGTTGAGCATCGGAGATACAGCAGCTCGGGTATTCGGCGTCGACGGTGTCAACTTCAATCTGAACGTTGTGTCGTATCCCAATCAGTATCAACACCTGTTAATGGCCAACTAAAAAAAAATTAAATTTAAAAAAAAGCGGATGCCAACCATCCCACCAACACTCTTTCACTATCTCGTTGGAAGTGTTCTAGTTTGTCAGTATCTTTAACAAAAAAAATAAACCAAAAACCAACTAGCTTGTGATAAAATAAGTAGTTTAAACCTTAGGGGTTTGAAATTGAGTCAGGGTTTTCATTGTTGTTCCAGTACAAAGCTTTATCTTATATCTACATAATTGTACAGTGTACTGAATAGAGACAAAGGAGGGGAAGACGAATGGGGGCGATGCCAAATTTTTTTGTACCCAGCCCACAGTTTGAGAGCCATTTAAAAAAAAGGCTTTTTAAGGAAAGGAATCTTCAAGAAGAATCGAGGATGTTTCAGGAGTTGTCCATTTTTACAGTAAATTAAAGCAAGAAGAATCCTTTCCTTATCTTCCCCTTCTGTTAAGGATTAACAACTTAAAAAAAAAAAAAAGATTATGGAATCTTTATCATGTTCCAACATGTTGTGTCCTCCATGGATATAAGATGCGACTGTTGTTACTATTGAATTTAGTGTCGGGTATATTTTCTTACTACCAAAACCAATCGTCATTGTCTGTATGCTAGTAAAAAAAAAAAAAAATACATTAAATGTGTGTATGTGTGTGTGTGTAGGTATATAAACATATAATTTTTACTTCCTTTTAATAAATTTTCTAAGATAACTAATTTAAATAGATTATTTTTTTTATTTATTCCTGTGTTTTTGTTTGCAGATAACGTTGAAAATTTCGAGGCATTCCAATTAAAATTGAGCACAACGTATATTGTAACGAAAGTATTAAAAATATTACTTAAACGTAAGCAAAAAGATCTGAAAAAAACCTGAACGAAACATCATACGATGCATGTGGAAATTCAAGTTGCTCTCAATTTTTTTATTTCTTTCCTTTACAACAAACTGCCACGAAGGAGGGTTAACCAGTTCGGAGAAGAATTAGAAAAGGCTCTGAAGCTCAAATTTCAGGGACATTGGTATCCAGAGAAGCCATATAAAGGTTCTGGGTTTCGGTGTTTGAAAACCACTCCACCTTTAGATCCTGTATTCGAAATCGCTGCCAGGGATAGTGGGATGGATCTCGTAGACATCCAAGAAAACTTACCGCAAGAACTCAGCATCTGGATAGATCCCGGTGAAGTTTCGTATAGAATGGGTGAAAAGGGTCAAGTAAAAATTCTCTACAGTGAGATGGAAGGAGTGGAAGGCGAAAGTAATGATCGGGAAATCACAAAGACATTTAACCCAGAAGCACAATGTTTCAAACCAGTCGACAGCATGGCTTGTCAGCTAGGTAACTTGAATTTGACAACCACAACAACCGCTCCTACTCCCTACAACAGTTCCCCTTCGCCCACTTACAAGTCCGGAAGTCCCGTCAATACTTTTATCCCCAAATCTTCAGCACCTTTGACCTTCACAACAGCTACCTTTGCGCAAACGAAATTTGGATCAACCAAGTTGAAGACAAATACGAAACGATGCCACAGGCTTTCCCCCACTGAATTCAATTACATCAAACAACGGGCCATCGTACAACAGCAAAATCAACAGCAACAACAGGGCCATCCTTCCACAGCAGCCGCCATGTTCGCAGCAGCGGCAGTAGCCGCTACGAATCCTCAACGACCACGATCGCTATCTCCTAATCCTCAACCGCCGCTCGATCCCAGCTTCTTGCTTTTGGCCACAGGACGACAACAACAACAACAGCAACAACAGCAGCAACAAGGAAATCAGGGCCATTTCTCCCCGCCGACCAGTCGATCTTTCGGAAACAACGGTGTTTTCGACAGTGGCTATTTGGCCGATTTCTTCACGTCAAGTGGCAATAACGGTGCCAAAAGCCAACAGGGTCAGAGATCAAACGCCGCCGCTACAAACAACAGACTTTCGTTATTCTTCGACAAACAATTTGCTACTGGTAACGCTACCAACACCGCTAACGGGTTGAGCATCGGAGATACAGCAGCTCGGGTATTCGGCGTCGACGGTGTCAACTTCAATCTGAACGTTGTGTCGTATCCCAATCAGTATCAACACCTGTTAATGGCCAACTAAAAAAAAATTAAATTTAAAAAAAAGCGGATGCCAACCATCCCACCAACACTCTTTCACTATCTCGTTGGAAGTGTTCTAGTTTGTCAGTATCTTTAACAAAAAAAATAAACCAAAAACCAACTAGCTTGTGATAAAATAAGTAGTTTAAACCTTAGGGGTTTGAAATTGANTATTTTTTTAAACTATAAATTATAAAATTTTTAAGTTCAAACCTATCGATTTACCTTATTAAAAAGTAAAAAAATAAAAAATAAAATTGCGTTAGTGCTGCTACATTAACAATTTTTTTTTAAAATATATTTTAATTTATTTATTTTTTTCTCTTAAATTATTTTATGAATAATAAAAATAGATATATTTTTATTCATATTTAAATTTAAAAAAAGAAAAAAAAATGAGAGCAAACATTAATGTATTCCTTTCAATAGAGATCAGACTTTTGTATTGTCGATTCTTCAGTAACGTCTTGGCGTGTACAATCGATATAATACTCCTACACAATACCAGAAGTGAGTGATCGATAGTGAAAAACCTTTCCAAGGATAATCAAGTGAATGAAAGCTAAGAAAACTATCCTAATTCGATTTTAAGTGGTGGTACGTTGCCTGATGTTGTGAGTCGATTTTTTCTCCCTTTATCCCTTCGAAAAAATTAAAGTTCACGATAATTCGAATCTATGGTAAAATTTATACTTTCGTCTCTCACACACACACGCAAAAAAATGAACTTTATTGTTACAATATATTGTTAGAAACTCGAAGAATGATTCGATAGTTATCTAATCTAATGCAGATCTACTACTCCCTATGATCTCTAGAAAATATACAAAATTGTAAATGGAAAAGTAAATTTGAATTACTCATTAAAAATTAGTTTAATTTTATTTTTTTTAATTAGAAGTTTAAATATTATAATATTGTAATTTTGTATTTCAAAAAAATCGTTTTAGAATGGAACTATGTAGGTATTTTTCGATGATGTTCATATTCAATTAGTGTAACTTAAGAGGGATGATAATGATTACAATATTGCGCATATTATAGCCATAGATAAGTTTTCATTCAGTTTTATATAATCACAACGAGTTACCTAGGCAACCATTGCCAATTTGGTCAATTGGTCTTATCAAAATCATCTCTCGAAGGAGACTGGATTCAAAAACATTACCAGAAATTCAATTTTATGAAGACGTCCATTTTTATTTAATTTTATATATATATATATATGCGTAATTTTTCAAGAAGGATTATCCTTATTTAATAATAAGAATTGCTCCTTTCTAATTCTTATTCTCTACGATCTGCAGTTGATTTGATTAATAATGATTACCCCTCTTTAGTCAGGTGTTCTTTTTTTTTTTATTTTTCTTAAATCGTTGGACTAGAAAGTTAGAGTGTTCGAAGGATTTAGTAGGAATTTTATGAATTAAAAAATTATTTCCTACTTTAGTACTAAACGGAAGCTTACCTCGAAACTTATATTATCCACTAAAGTAGTTTTTGTGCCATAAAATTGTCTCCGTATCGTAACATAAAGGTTATCGTCATTATCGTAATGCTTAACATCTTAAAAATGGTGTTATCTCGGATATATTATTAGTTTAAGCAATATTAAAGCTCGAGATTAACTTTTAAGCACATAAGCATTAAATAATTGAAAGATTTTAATAGAAAATTAATAATAAATTTTATTTTTTTTTTTACCTGCAGAATTTTTATGTTGAATATAATTTTTTTTTCTCTTCTCCTCCTTTTCTTACGGTAATAAATTTACATACAAATAAATTTTATTTGCAAAAAAATAAATAAAATAAAATAAAATTATTTTTACAACAAGAAAATGATTTAAAAAAAAAAAAACATTTTGTGAAAAATATATTTATTTTTCTCTAGATTTTTTGTATATTTAATTTAATTTTTCAAGTCTAAATTTTATAGAAATTTGTCAACAGATTGATTAGGAATTCAAAAAATTATGAATAAACGAAATTCTGAATAAAATAAAATAAAAAAAATTGTTATTATTTATTACCAACTGAATATTGAAAATTTTATTTATATTTTTTTAAATTTATAACAATAAAACATTCTTTTTATATCAGTAGTATATATATATATAAATACGTATTATAAAACTTTTAACAATATTGCAATATAGCCCCTAGAATGAAGTCTTTTCCTTCTATACTTCCGTTTTGCAGTGAAGTATCCCTCAGGGACTTTTAAGTGTAAATTCTATTTTTTTGACCCTTTTACATGGCAAGAGAAAAAAATAAAATAAAATAAAATAAACAAATAAAATATACAAGTCAGAAGAAATAACATTAAATTAAAATTTATTTTTATATTTTATTTTTTCAACAGAACTATTTTTAAACAAATATACAAATATAATTATAGTTTAAATAAAAAATAAAAAAATAAGGTAAAAAAGAATTAATGAAAACCACGTAATCATTCATACTTAGTTAAATGTTAAGAGTTTATTTAATAATTATGTTATATAAATAAGTAGATTATTTTGAAATATTATATAAATTTATTTATTCGTTAATTAATTTTATAATCTTTTATAAAAGAGAAGAACGGAGTAAAAAATCGAGGAATTCGTCTATTTTGATCAATTTATATTAGTTTTTAAAGCATATTTCCTTATCATTAAAGCTAAAACATCGTATTTTTCTTCTTTTATCTTTGTTATATCTATAAGGTTAAAGGTGAATCTCTTTTTTTTTTTTTTTTTTTTT